GATGTCAGCGCCGCATCCAAGCATTCTTTAAATGATCCTGTAGGAGCTACAAATTTGAAGTCTTTACGTGATTCCCAGAACAGGCGTGCTAATTTCTGGGCGCCTTGAGCGACAGCATTTGCATCCCACCCACTAACGACAACAGCGGCACGATTTCTGGGCTCGTCGGCCCAAGCGTAGCCAACCCAGATTGCTGCATCCAAAACCCCATCAATCGCTTCGACCTCGGGAACAGCCGCATAGATATGCGAGGCTGGTTCATCCCTCGTGGAAGTTTGCTCTCCTGGAAGTAGAATAGGGAGTGGTATCCAGGCCTTGAGCGGACGCACAAATTTCTCCCCATCTGCTCGTCTTTGGAGCAGCTTAAGCAAGTTTCGACAAGCGCGCTCCTTCGTCTCAGCAACGTCCACATGAGGAGCTGTTCGATAGCAAGTAATTAGATCCTTCTGATGCGCCAGTTCGCGCGACACATTGCCATGCAAGTCCATCGATGCCGAAACCAAGACATTAGGACCGATCACCTTGCGGCAGCGTTTCAAAAGTTCATATTCCGCATCGTCGAGGTCCTCGACGCACATAGCACCGTGAATGTCAAACCAGAACCCATCAACTTTCGTCGATTCTACTATTTTCGTAAGACGGTCGACAATCTCTGCGGAAAGTGATTCGAAGGCCTCTCTAGTCACAATGCCGCCCGGTAAAGCATGCCCAATAAGCGCACCACGCCATTCCGCAGCGTTACCCAGAGGCGTTCCGGGCTGGATGAAGGGGTATCTTTCTATGATCTCTGTATCGCGCTGAGGATGAAATGCTGGCGCGAGCGTTCTCGATGGTGTGAATGTTGAGGTCTCGCAAGCTAAGCCGGCAATAGCAATGACTGGGCGGCGGGACATGTTGTATGACCACTAGGAGGTACCTAGTGATGGGTCGAGAAATGCTGTCGATCCGTACGTCGGAAGCAGAAGTGGTAACAGAGCTAGATGTCTCTATGTAAAGTCTCAAAATCAACAGAAACTAATAGCTTATAGTCTATCGATTTCTCATATCACCGCTTGACGTAGTGACGGTGATGAAATGCGACCCCCGCAATCCCCCGCTGCGTTGGATCTCAAAATAGATAGCTCCTATCTCGACTTGACCCGATAAGTCAAAGACCTACCGTCGCAACCAAGTAATAGGTTCATCCCGATGTCTTGAAAGGTTCAATTTGCCGGATATTCATATCCTTTGTAAAGTTCAGAGATAATAAACATCCTCCAAGGAGAAAATATACAGTCAAAAAGTACTTAAAGCCGGTGAAGACCGGCCATCCAAGGTCAGTTCATTTCCTCCTCCGCCGCGTCGGATGCTTCCCACCAGGATAATAAACACATCGTCCATCCTTATGTTAAATTTGAGAATGGATAACAGTCGACTAATGAAGCTACTTCTCCCTAGCTCACATGCTTAAGCCAAAGATGCAGTGATCTAAAATAAGCTTCTTCAGCTTGTCGATGATTGCAATGCGTTCCGGTTTGAGTAAATGATTGCGAGTTGATCGACACATTCATCCACTAGCTCAGCTCTTCCGAACCAACAGGTGTATACTGGCATTGCATTTGCTCTTATTTCTATGACAAATAAAACCTTCTATACCTCGATCTTTTGAGATGCAATCTCCTACGTACATGGTGCCTTGACAGGAATGTCATGCAGCCCTATGGCGCAGCCAGGGGAGCAAGGCAGTCCGTGACCAACCGTTTTCATGTGTTGGTAAGACTCTTCCTCCAACGGGGAAGGTGAGCAGCCAGGCAATAGTCGATGGTTTCAAGCGTATGGCGCAGTACACAAGAAAGAATTTCAGCCCCATTGACAGTACGACATCATGAGCGGCAAGAAGGAGCAAGAGCAAAACAAGATGTAATCCACAGAAGCTATCGTGAAGATCGCCTCTACTTCCTCTATTCACGCCTACCTGGGTGTGGTTGGACGGTATTCTCCTACCTGCTATCGCGATGTCAACAACAAGCAGTCTGACGGGTATACCAGCAGGGCTCATCGCACCTACGGCTTCATCACTTGGCCCCTTGACCACACCCTTCATCGTGCCTTCGTCATGCGGTCCGGACAACACATATTCCTTATACAATGACCCAACAAACCATATCGTCGTCTGGCAAGTAGGGCCTACCAACACGGCGTCTCGTTCAAGCTGTCTACCCGAGTCGTGGATTGTCAATGGTTATTACTCGCCAGCGATATGTCCATACGGGTACACGAGAGGCTGCGCCGCGACACAAAACAACGTCGAAACGACAATATGCTGTCCAACGTATGCTCATAGCACTTGAAACACTGATGCATGGGAGAAACTAACTCATCTGCTAGAAATCTGGACTTCTCGTGCCACTCGACAATGGCGTACGAAAGTTTCGGCTGTTATTACTCCGCGCCAACCATCGACGTAACGAATCTAGTCATTGATGTTCAGACCTCGACCGGTACCTACCCCAACGTCGACATTTCGGATCAACCTGTGTTCGCATTCAGCGTGCAGGTGCAAAAGCCCGTATCTTGGGCACCCGCGACGTCATCCGCATCCACAACCACATCCTCCTCGGATACCTCCACGCCAGCCGTGGGCGGCGCGACGACACCGGCACAGACCGGGGCGGAGTCCACATTTCCACAGTCCACCCCGCTTCCTAGCACGAAGGCTGCGCTATCCGGCGGCGCCATCGCGGGTATCGTGGTGGGAGTTCTGGGGGCCTTGGCGATTGGAGCTTTGATTACCTTTCTTCTCATGCGCCGGAGGAAGACACCGAGTGTTTATCCTTCTCCCCAGATGACGGCGGCTATACCACCAGCTCCTCAGCAGCCGCCGCACAGAGTACTTCACGAGATGGATCCGCAGCGCGGTCATACAGAGATGCCTACTTGGGATCAATATAAAGGCTGGGAAATGCCCGCATAAAACCATCTATTTCTTTTTGGGGGGTTCTGTGAATTACTGTACAGTATGGAATAAGGGTATATAAGCTCAGATGCTAAAGAGCGACGGGTACATATGTACTGGGTCTGGCACAAATCCAATAATACCAGTATGTACCTAATCATTTGAAGTTCAATTCGAGAGATTCCAAGGCTTCTCCTTTTCACTAAACGCCCTCATAACTTTGAGGGGTTAGATATCAGGATAAGTATTGACATGAATTGACGTATCGGTTTGGAACTCGTGATAGAAAACACCGATTTTCCGTGTCTTATAGCAGCATCGTTCCGATCACCTTAAGTAGGTGCCCAAAGTTCAACTATTAAAGCTTGATTTGACGGCGATGGGATTACCTCTAAGTATCTACATGGTTATTCCATATCAAGTTTTGTCGCGCCCCTTTTTAGTAGAGAAGCGCCCATAGAAAAACTACGTCGCCGTCTCAAAATACTCCTCCATAAACCCCGTAGGTTTGGCTTTAGGTGCAGGCTTGCGGAACCTTGGGTAATGCAAGTTGCTTCTAGACTAAGAATTACATGGGACTGTATGTCTTATTGAACTTTAATATGGCGGAGCTATCGTCATCGAAATCGAGCTCCGAGAGGGCATGTTTACTTAAAGGCTCCAAGGCCAAACTGACCATTGCCAAATTCTTGCTCAATCATCCTATTCCAAATATCCTACAAGCCAAAGAAAGATATCAATCGCCATGGACAAGCTGAAGCAGGCAAAGGATGCCGTTACTGGCCAGACGTACGCGTGCTTTCCATCATAACCCCCGGCGCAAGTCAGGAAAACTTACTCAATGCCACAGGTCGGCCAACCAAACCGCCCAGCAGCCTGGAGGAAAAAACGCCAAGAAGGATACCATTGTCGACTCCAGTATGTCATTAATTGTAACCTTCGATACCTACTTAACTTAGAGACAAGCTAACGGTCAAACTCCTAGTGGTCGATCAGGAGGCCCAGAAGAAGGGTGTACCTGGTGGCGCCGACCCTATGATCAACAACGTCGTCAATGACGAGGTGAACAAGTTTTAAGGAGACTCTAGCTCCGTTACCTTTCAGGGGATGAATGGTTATTTAGTACGGAAATCTAATAGTTGGGTGTATATGCAGATGGCTTTTACTTCATTACTTCGTTAATATAGGTCCCCTTTTAAGGGGTAATGCGATCTCAACCTTTGCCTATGTTTCTATCAGGCCTCTTCGTTAGTGATCGCACTAGTCATTTTACAGAATATCACTAAGTACTGTTGGGCATGCCGAATTAAGTTGAATATCCCACCTGAGCAATGGATAATGGGCGAAAGTGAGAGCGTAGTGGTATATGTTATGAGCTAATACATACATACCTACCTAAAATCAATTGCCGTTTGAAATTGTTATGGACTACAACATCACACCCAATTTCGTACGAAACCAGGTAGATAGTAGTATTAGAGTCGTAATTGCTTCCACACTCATAAGAGAAGCTTGTAACCTCAAGTTGCAACATGCACGCCTTCTAGACTTCCATGCTTCCTGCCTTGGGGGTACCCCTTGTGCACCAATGCCGCAAGTGAGCGATGATATCTAGCCTATCATGAAGAAACTAGCTGCTATGTCAACTTTATATTCCTGACTTAATCTTAATATCAGACTAATCTATATCATCCGATGTTCCTAGTGGTAGTAGCAACCTATCAAAGGTGACTTTCGCGTGTAAGTCAGATGCAAACACAATAGGTACCTATCCAATGGCCCAAATGCAAACAGATTCAGGGGATTTGAAATCCTTACATAGAAAACTGAAATAATGATAATAAACTGATCCTTGCCATATCGCAGAAGCCCAGTGGAGGACACCCATCGAAGCTGCCTAGGTAGGAGGCAGGCACCAATGAACAACTAACAGGAAAGAAGCATCCATCCGAACGAACAGCAAACGAGGCAAGCACCAGCACGCAGCTTCCCGTCCAGCAAACGCCGGGTACCACATAATAAGGAATAGCAGAGCATAAAATCAATCCGAAATGGAACAGCAATCACCATCATCGTCCAGTGGTTAGGATGCCAGGTTTTCATATAACTTGATCAATGAATTCCCTGGAGACCGGGGTTCGAACCCCCGTGATGGTAATCTTTTTCTATTCGATCCTTTTTTTCTTTTTGGCATGGCCAGCAAGTCTCTTCCCCCCTTCCTTTTTTCCCCATCAAAGTGGCTACCACATTTGCTCTTGGACATAGCTGAATTATATCTCGTGTATTGTTTTATAGTGTGCATTTACTACAAGCGTTATTACCTATAGACAATGGAAATGGTGTTGGTGACCGCTTCGTTTGGTACGGTAGGTAGGTACCCGTCCCCTTTCAGCAATCAATGCCTCCTGAAATCCCATACGGACTACAATTAGTGCTATGCAATTGAATTAAACAACATTTAGCTAGGCGTCAATCTCTTTGATTATTCCCTGATTCCATTTTAAACTACAATCTGACGTTCATACGCGGGAGCTGTGCTGGTCTAGGATGCTGCGCTCTATCTCACGGCACCCTACCAATACAAGATTATGCGTAGAACAACAGTAAAAGCAACCGAAACATCTTATTAGCTAAGAGAATACTTTATAACTATTCGAAGAGCATAGGGAGAATTAGAGAGTATTCACTTCCTAATAAGGTGCCCAAGCGCCTATCATTCCAGTGCTACGAGCCTTAGATACGCACAGTATCTTGCTTCAGTAACAAGGCTTCACGCATCCAAGCAATCAGGTACCTAGTTCAATATATCATAATGTTTCATCTTATTCTGCTTAAACCCTGATATCAATAGAAAACCCGCTTCCATATCATGCAAATGCACACTCGAACGAACCCCAGATGCCGAGTTCGTCAACCCTTACCTAACTTAGATACCTACCTAGATAGGTACAAAGCCCATCCATTCATTTATTCCATTCCATTCCATTTACCCCCTCCCCTAGGTATTTCATTTCCCCTGAGCCCGTCCACATCACCCCCAGTTTCCTTTCCTTTCTTTTCTATTCTTTTTCTTCGCCGCACCTCCCTAGTCTAAACCTCATTGCTAGGATACGGCACCTCGGTGCTAGGCAGGAACTCCTCCTTGATGCTCCGCAGGCTGACGAAGCGGCTGATGATGTTGACGCTTCCGGCCTTGTCGTTGGTGCCGCTGGCCCGGGCACCACCAAAGGGCTGCTGCCCGACGACGGCGCCGGTGCTCTTGCAGTTGACGTAGAAGTTGCCGGCCGAGTTGCGCAGCGCGTCCTCGGCCTGGCGGATGGCCTTGCGGTCCGACGCGAACACGGCGCCCGTGAGGCCGTACTCGCTCGTTCCGTCGACGAGCTTACACGCGTCGGCGAAGCCGCGGGGGGTCGAGTCGTCGTACACGTGCACGGTGAGCACGGGCCCGAAGAGCTCCGTGCTGAGCAGCTTGTGGCGCGGGTTCGTGGTCTGGTAGATGGTCGGGTGGATGAAGTAGCCCTTGGACCCGTCGTATTTCCCACCGACCAGCAGCTCCAGCTCCGAGTCGGTCTTGGCCTCGTCGATGACGGCCGCGAGCTTCTCGAAGCTGGGCTTGTGGATCACAGGTCCAATAAAGTTCTTGGGCTCCCAGGGCGCGCCCACCTGCAGCGCGGCCGTCTCCCGGACCAGCTTCTCCCTGAACGCGGGCCAGATGGACCTGGCCACGTACACGCGGCTCGTGGCGCTGCACTTCTGGCCCGAGTACTCGAACGCGCCGCGCACTGTGTGCACGACCGCGTTCTGGACGTCGGCCGACGGGTGCACGAGGTGGAAGTTCTTGCCGCCCGTCTCGCCGACGACGCGCGGGTAGCCCAGGTACCTGCCCTCGGCGATGCCCTGCCCGATCTGCCCGTACAGCTTGCGGAACACGGCCGTGCTGCCCGTGTAGTGCAGCGCGGCAAACTGCTTGTGCGCGAGCACGGCCCGGGTCACCTCCTCCGGGTTTCCCGGCACGAACTGGATCACGTTCTCCGGCAGCCCGGCCTCGATCAGGATCTTGTGCACCAGGTGCGCCGAGGCGACGGCCGAGTCGGACGGCTTCCACAGCACGACGTTGCCCAGCAGAGCAGGCGTTCCGACTAGGTTGCCGCCGATGGCTGTGAAGTTGAAGGGGCTGACGGCGTACACGAAGCCCTCCAGGGGTCGGTATTCGGATCGGTTCCACACGCCGGCCGAGTTGTGCGCAGGCTGTTGCGCGTATAGCTCCTCTGCGTACTGGACGTTGAAGCGCAAGAAATCGCATAGTTCGGCCGCGGCGTCGATCTCGGCCTGCCATGCGTTCTTGCCCTGGCCTAGCATTGTGGTGGCCATGATCTCGTATCGGTATTTGGTGGATATCAGGTCAGCAGCCTTTAGAAAGACGGCGGCCCTGTCGGCGAAGGGAAGGGATTCCCATTCTGACTTTGCGGCTAAGGCGGCTTCGATGGCATTGTTAATGTCGGAAGGGCTTGCGAGAGAGTAGTTTGCTATCGCGGTAGCGTGGTCGGAGGGGTTGTATTGTGTAGATGTTTGTGATGTTCTGACCTATGTAACGAATTAGTGTTGTATAACAGTATCAAAGTTCCATGTTCATGCATACCTCTTTACCCCCTATTAGGAGCGGAATATCTATCGCACCCTTCTGCTGTTGGGCTGCAACTGTGGCAAGGAGGTCTTCTCTTTGCGTCGAGCCCTTCTCATAATGATGCTATGTGCCACATTAGCTACGCAAATTTTAATATGGCCATACTGCGGAAACAAGGGGAATACGTACGTTGGGTTCGTTTACCACCTTTGGTATTTTGAAAGTGGCTAGTGTCAACCGAGGTGTTGTCGTGCTTAAAGCTCTAACGTTTCTCGGCGATCGAAGGGTTGGTAGACATCTCGAGCAGACTCTTGATGACAAAGTCGAGCTCTGTAAGGCCCTTGCGAGACCGTAGCCCCTCGGTGCTGCCGACATGTTTGGGGAAAGAAAACGGATGGACAATTCTTGTTTGATTTGGGTTGACCTAGAACTGCTCAATTGGTGTTGAGATTGGTGTAGGGCTACAAATAGGAAGGGTATCTTGGATTATTACTGATTCACCTAATCGCAGTCACCAAAATTTATGTCCAATGTAGCTACCTCTTCATGTATTATAACTCTTCGGATGCAACTTCATCAGCGTCCCCTCTCCTCCGATAATGATGTATGGGCTCGCTTTGCTGCGGCATAACGAACAACTTTGCGGGGCAGGGTAGCTACGAAATCCCAATTGAAAGGATAGACCAATGAGAAGCTTTAGATTAGGTGTGGAAGAGCCGAATTCGGCATGAGCTTTAAGCCGCCGAGCTAAGGTCGTCTTCTGTAGTACGACTTTAGCGGGATTAAGTAGCTCGATCCGACCGCTCTAGAGGAAGAAGTCAAGCAGATTTTCTATTGTTCGATTATCTAACTCATGTCAGGTTTATACTCCTAACTCAGCCTTATCAATAAGTATTGCCAAATCCTCTGACTTATTCCACATCGAAAATGATTCGGAAATCTGTGGGGTTGGGTTGAGTAGAGTCCGGCTAATATCTAGGCACACGCAGATAGACATAGATCTCTTGGAAGATGGAACGACGAAGGAATGCGGGAACATATAATATTTTTTTTTCATCTTCACACACTAGGGCGAAGTGTACGTAGACAGGATTATCAACAGGGTACTGTAAAGTTACATATTACGAAAGGGGAATCAAGAACGAATTCATTAGGTACTTAGTCCTCTCCTCTCCTCTTTCTGTGGTATTTTTCTCTTCTGCCTCTTGCTCGTTATCTTTCTTGCCTTCGCATCTGTTTCGATGTGAGTCCATTCAGCTCAACTGCTCTTTAGCTGTCGAACCTAGGCGGCTAGGGTCAAGGGGCTCTAGCAAAGGTAGCGGGTAACGACTCCACCACCCCTAGTTAGTCCTTGACGAGTACCTCCACATCTCATCTCGGCTTAGAACTAGCACGGAGCCACTCCGAAACAACCCGTATCTGACCAACTGCGAAGCAAGATACCTCTCAGATAACCGGCCAACAACGGCCCGACTGGGCTAGCTTCTAGTGACGCCCCTCGGGCGCTGAGACTGGCAACGAGGGCACGCTACTCGGCGCGGTGGTACTAGCAGCCCCAGAGGTCCCTGGTCTGCTCCGGTGGTGACGAAGGTGATGCGCGTGCGCGTTGCTGCCAAATTTCCCAGCTTCGTAGTCGAGAGCGGGGATCGACAAACCATACGGCTCCGTATTTCCTTCCCCGTCGTGCTGGTCGATCTCCACACGGATGCAGACATCAAGAGCACCATCACCGCTCTTACCGTGAGACTCAGAATCGGCTGCTTTATGTTTGGTACCCGCGCCAAACTCGCCTTGACTTAGGAAGGCATGGCCATCCTTGCCGTCAAACTGGTTTTCTGCCGACTCCGCGTGGCCATTGGCGGAAGCGCCGTAGTTGTTCGGCGAGTTCTCCGTTAGAATAGCATAGTTTCGGCTCGGCATCGTGACATTGTTCGACGATCTGGTCTTGTTAGTATTTCCAGGGTCTTTGTCGAAGAGTGCCATGAGCGTCTCATCCGTATCTGGGTCGAGGTGATGGATTTTGTTACGGCTTGCTAGAAGATTAGCAATTGCCGCCGGAGGTGGCTTATTAACAATTGCAGAAGATACAACGTTGACCATATATCGATGGTCCTTCTCCACGGGGATGTGCAAGTTCGGGTTGGAGTAAAAACGTCCAAGAGCTGCCAAGTGGACGTCGCCTCCAAGGATGGTGAGTCGAACTGAGAACTCTGAGCAGACTGTCTGCAATCGCTGGATAAGAGCATTCCGCTCCTTCTTATGGGTTCTAGCCGTGTAGTGATCATCTAAATCATCAAGAAGATCCACGCTGCCATCGAAATGGTTGAAGACACCACCACCTAGTAAAATCATAAATACTCATGGTACCTAGATCATTCCAAGACAGCACTTACCGAATCCAAATCTTCGGTTCAAGAATTTGACAGGGGCAATCAAGGGACTGCTGAACACGTTCTCAAGCCAGGTGAGTCGCTAGTCACGTCAGCTTAACGTACCAAGCACAATACGCACGGGTACTCACAGGGTATGCGAT